GCTTCTTTATTTCAGTTGCTATTATTTCAGATATTTCAGGTGTATGGCATATATTTTCTTCTATGTACATAGCTCCTAAGGTTTCTTGGGATGGGCTGGAGGTTTGAAATTGCATTTTGGTCTTTTGCTTTGTCATTTTCCTATATTTCTGTGCTTCAAATGTTGTTCCAAGGCTTCCCCTGGATGTGTTGGAAATTGTCTCCCATGCCCTAGGCTCTTGGGACTGAATGGAAGTTGCTGAGCCTGGTCCAGTTAGGCCCTCAGGCCCACCCGTGCCACCTTCAGTGTTTCAGGTAGCTGGGCAGGCACCTAACCACTTTGGATGATGGGCTAAAGCTCTCCCCAGGTGAAGTCCAATGCCCTGGAACTCACTTCACCTACTCTCAAATCCTGTAATTGAAGAAGGTCGTAATATAGTTCATCCACAAAACCTCCCAAGGCTAGTCTAGTGGCTGGGCTCTGGGCGGGTCCTTGAGTTCCGGAAGAGATGTTCTTAAAGTCTACCTGGTGCTTAGGGTGGTGTGGATTCACTCCAGCCACCAGCTGAGTTTCCAGTTTGGAGAAGTTCACTGGGCATGTCCTGGGCAGGCCTGAAACCTACCAAGCACAGCCTAATGTGTCTGGGCTCTGGGCGAGTCTCTGAATCTAATCTTAACAAGAAAGGGCCCCTTGGCCAGGTTGGTGACTGAGGCCTTCAGAAGAAATGACTACTTTAACATTGATGTCACCGACAAGGAACAGACACACAGCAGAAGCCAGGAGCTGGGAAAATAGGAGACAGGCACAAAATGTGTGACTGCAGCAAAGACAGCCACAGCCAAGGTGTCCAGTGGGCCAGGGGTTGTGCCCAGCAATGCTGTTCAGAGTCTATAATCACAGATAATTCTGATGAGGCAAAGCCATAGCAGGTGCGGGGGACGGGGGGTGCTACCATGACACCTCACTTTCAGGGAGACGCCCTCCTCAATGCAGTGAGCTCCCTGGAGGTGGGAATTGGTGTCTGAGCACCAGCTAAACAGACACCAGACAGACACCGAGAGGCTGTAGGGTGGGTTTTCAGCTTCTGTGGGTCCTGATGGATACTCTGAGGGTGGCGTCTTACTGAGTTCATGAGATATCCACCCGACTCTGGGTATCAATTGACTGATAATGTTGCCATCACTTTCAGAAATCTGCAAGCATTCAAAGGAATATCATTTTAAAGAAAAATATAGGGCGGCATTCACTCAGTGGTAAAAGAAAACTGTCTTCCAAAAGCATCAAGGTTGACTTTCCTTATTTCCAAAAATCTACCACACTCTGAGATTGATTCTGCCAGCTCAGGTAGCTGACCTTATTTATATGGAGAAGAGTGAGCCCCTTCTTTTAGAGTATGATCACCGTATGCACCCCATAAAACAAATACACCTATTCATTAATTGAAATTATAAATGCATCAGCTGAACTTTCTCTCCTCTGTGTAATAAATCATTTCTCTGCACACAAATGCCTGAAAGGGAAGTCAAATTGTACCCAAAGGTCAGTTTTAATCAGAGGCTGGAATGTGGAATGGCTCGTGCACTGTCCCACCTAAGGAAATGATGGGAGACAGGACATGGTCCCTCTTCCCTGTGCTGAGCTTGGATACTGCCCTTCACCATAATGGTCACAGTTGACCACCACACTCCCATCTAAGAAATCCATGTTTGTTTCTATAAATTCTCAGTCGGGCTAGAGTGAAGTTAGCATGAAGCCAGCAGTCTCTTTAGGCATGTGTCTTAGTCTGTTTTGTGTCTCTATAACAAAATACCTGAGGCTGGGTGATGTATATAAAGAGGTTTGTCTTCCTGGGGATTCTGGGTGCTGGAAAGGACAAAGAGGATCAGCACCCGCTGACCCCAGCTAGGTCATGACACAGCCGATCAGCAAATGGGAATAGAAATTCATAGACAACATACTGAGAAAATAAGCCTGAGACATGGTGGAGAAAGCCGAACCTGCATTGTGACAACCCATCCTCTGCCAAAACCCAACCCACTTCCTGGAGCCACTACCCATGCTCTCACAAAGGCAGGTCCTCTGTGATCTAATTCCCCTTCACTCTGCCCAGCTTCTTTAAGTCCATCTCAATACCACCGCACTAGGGATCACTGCAAACAGCTGACATATACCTCTGGGGTCCAGCTGTCCCCAAACCACACAGCTCCCTTCCCACCCTCAGGCACCCATGAGGCATATCCTCTGCCTGCTCCTCCTTTACACCAGGCTGCTGGTGTGGGCATGAGACTCCTTCCCAAGTGCAAGCCCAGGGAGCCACAGCAAGGCCACGCTGGCTCACAGGACGGTGGGGAACCCTGGCACACTGGGGACTGACTTTATTAGAGAGGGTGGAAGATGCAACACAAGAATGGGTTAAAATCTGGCCATGCAGACACCTTCTCTCCTACACAGGACCTGAGCAAAGCAAATCCAGTGCTCCGTATGAACCGTCATAGCCACAGTCCAACAGTCCCAGAAAGATGGGTGTTAAGATGTGAGCATCCATCAACATTTTAAGCACACTTCCTGAGGAGTGCAATAATCGTGCCACCATCTGGATGCGTGTCATAAATCTCCATACTTTCTCAAAATAGAATCGCTTAGAAAATAAGGAAGAGAGAAGTTCTAGCCACTCTGATGAAAATAACTTACAAGATAGACAGAAAGCATCACAAATGTGAGCTAAAAATATACAAAGATATCCATGACTTCTATTATGTTCATGACATAATGCTCATGTACAATTCTCCCCAAAAAATGTACTGATAAACTATTAGAAACAGTAAGAGGGTTTAGAAATAAGATCAATATATATAAATTACTTTTTTCTTATTTCTGATAGGTACAAATTAAATTTTTAATTTAATTTTTATTTTATACAATAGATACATTAGCATAAAAACAAAATACTTAGGAATGACTGATGAAAGATGTAAAAAATCTCTCAGTATAAATATTATGCTAAGAAAATCTAGGGGCAATTCTGCTCCTAGGTGTTTCAGTCAAAAGAAATATTTATACTTACTTACCAAAAGTCCCCTTCAAAAATTCCATAGGTTTAATTTGTGTCCTAATCTTAAATTTCTAACCAGTCACATGCTTGTCAACAGTAGAGAGAGCAAATAGGAGGTGTGATCAAAGAGGTGAATATTTAATTTTTTAATTCATTACCCTAAGACACACAGCATCGATCCCCTTGAAAATCTTCCTGCTGCCGCAGACACACTCCCTCCCTCGTTCTGACACTTTCTGGATCACTTCCCAAAGTCTGCTTTTGTTCTTTCCAAGCTGTGAGCAAAAGTGTGGTGAATGCTGCCGCTGAGCCCTGCCCAAAACAAAGGCAGGCTTGAAAAATGTCACTGTTCGCCCTCCCCCACCTCACTCAACAGCTCCCACAGTGTGGCTTCTGCTCTTCCCCGAAGCCCAGTGACCACAAAGGCCAACATTCTGAATCAACTCAGGACTCTGAGGCAGCCACCGCTGTGGGAGTACAGACCTTCATGAAGGAGGACACCCAGAAGGGCTTCAGAAAGTGTCATAAATGAGGGATGTGATTGAAGCGAGAGAAGTACTTCAAGAAGGATTGATAATGGTTTGTCATTTACTGTAACAATTCTTTTACATTTAAATATCCACCATGTTTTTCAATCATGCTTCATAAATCATGTCATACCATTAAGTGGAGATTATAGAACAGAAAGAAGAAATGAAATACTCTGAAGAATTCCACAATAAGGTGCAGAGAACACAGCCAATGCTGTGTTCTTTTATTTACATAAACTTTTACAACAGCTGGAACAGTAGATAAGGGAACAGACCGGCTGCCTGAGGGAGGGAGAGAGGGAGGAGGTGGAATGGCATGGAGCCCAACTGTAACCTTTCACCTGGTTAGTGACCTTGATGGGCTCACTTTGTGATAATCCACCAAGTTGGAAATTAATAACTTTGCACGTGTGTGTGTGTGTGTGTGTGTGTGTGTGTGTGTGTCTTTTTGAGACAGGGTCTTTCTATGCAGTTCGGGTGAGCTCCTTTGTAGCCCAGGCTGGTCTCGAACTCGTAACAATCCTTCTGCCTCAGCCTCCCGAGTGCTGGGATTACAGGCATGAGCCACCACATCAGGCTCTTAAGTTTGCACTTTTTAAATGAATGTTATGCCTCAAAAAAGTTTAGAACATATTAGAACTCACAGATAATCTCCTCTAGTGTAATTAATTCCTTCCTTAATAAAAGAATCAAGAAAATAAGAAATGTGTAGTCAATTACCTGAGATGCCTGCCACCAACAAATCTGGTATCTCAGAGCTGTCCCTGTGATATGAAGTTATCCCCATACACATAAAATTCCTCAGTGTGGAAAACCCATCTGCCTTGGGCAAAGATGACTAGGATATTAACTGATCTTTTCTAAGTCCCAAATGAATCCATCAGCTTTTCCCCACCGGTTCGGGGTCTGCTCTGCCACACGGAATGCATTTCATCCAGCCTCCTCCTCCCAGCGGCCTTTAACAGACACAAGACGAGGAGCAGGAACACACACAGACACCTGCATCAGGCTGCTGCAGGTAACAGATGCAGAACAGCCATTCAGACTGGCCTTGCAGACATCAGAGTGAGAGCACAGAGGCACTGCCCAATCTGACCGAGCCAAAGGGACACAGCTGTAAGGAAAGGACCAAAAGACCCTCCCCGGGCCTCAGCAGCTACTGCATGCCCAGGTGACAATCAGAGGAGGAAAGATGCTGGTGGAGTGACTCTTTCCTTTTATCTGAAAAAGTCTCTATGAGTTACTGCCAATTAAGAAAGAGTTAAACATTTAACTTTCAAAAGATTCATGACACCCAGCCAGCGACTTCCTCCTTGCTGATTCCAATCAAAGTTAGAAAATGATGTAAACAACAACAAAGAAAAGTCTTCCTGATTGGTTCCAATTTTGAAGGGTCCTGTATAAAAGGTCCAGATGGTCAGCACATCCTGAGGAAGTCACCTGTGACCAGGACCCGCTCTCCACACCTGACACCATGACCCACTCCTGCTGCTCCCCTTGCTGCCAGCCCACCTGCTGCAGGACCACCTGCTGCAGGACCACCTGCTGGAAACCAGCCTGCATCACCAGCTGCTGCAGCGCCCCCTGCTGCCAGCCCAGCTGCTGTGGCCAAACCAGCTGTGGCTCAAGCTGCTGCCAGCCCTGCTGCTGCCCATCCTGCTGTCAGACCACCTGCTGCACGACCTGCTTCAAGCCCAGCTGTGTGACCAGCTGCTACAGCACCCCTATCTGCCAGCCTAGGTGCTGCGTGTCCAGCTGCTGCCAGCCCACCTGCTGCCAGCCCAGCTGCTGCCAGCCCAGCTGCTGCCAGTCCACCTGCTGCCAGCCCATCTGCTGCCAGTCCACCTGCTGCCAGCCAGCCTGCTCTGGACCTGTGTACTGCACCAGAACCTGCTACCACCCCACCTGTGTCCACCTGTGCAGCGGCCTCCCTGAGAGCTACGGATCTGGCTGCTGCCAGCCCTGCAGCTGCTGATCAGCTCCTCAAAAGGCCACCGTCTGCATGTGACAAGCTCTGCCACATGACTTACCCATTAGGAACAAATGCGCTTCTGAGCCACCATGCGTTCATCAAAATTTCTGTTACTTGACTGCTTGTTTTGCAGCCCTTGGGAACCAGCTGGAGTGTTTCCAGAGTACTTAATCCTAACTTTCTTCTTTCCTGACCCTGGCGAATAAAAAGCATCCTTTTCTATCCTCAGTTTGAAGATGTGACCTCAGCCCTGGCTCCTAAGTCAGGATCCAAACTCTCTCCCTAACCTGAAGGATCCTCAGAACTTTCCCATACATTTCTGGAACTGATCAATAATCCTCAGATTTGCTCTCTTGACATTCTCATGCTTTCTTTTGTCCTGCTTTCTTTTCATACTCACTTCGAATTATCACTCAGATCGCGCTAGTGGCAAGAACTTTTCTGCCCTTTCAGTTCTTTTTATCTAAAGCTTTAAAATAAATTCTGAACTACTTTTCATTCCGCATTGCTGTTGTGTTTGCTGGACAGAATTCCCTTCCTGAAATTTACCGACATAATGCATCCCACCGGCATTACCCATGAGGAGACTCAGAGCAGCCCCACCCCCACCCCCACGAAACTGTTGTCTTCATTTCCACACAAGAACATTTCATTGTGTGGTGCTGTGTGGTTAACAGCGGACCGACTAAGATCCAGAATTGGGTCTTTTTCTTGCTGAAACACTCTTACATTAACGTCTCAAGGAAGGCAGCAGTTGGGACATGGCTATAGCAATACATGGAAGGGATGGGCCGCTGTGTGCCCAGATATTTCTGTCTAAAATGATCTTTCCAAACTTATCTCACACACCTCTGTGAGCAGCAGATGCAGGCCAGGGCAGCTGGGACTGCGTTAGTAGCTCTCAGGGATGCAAGCTTCATATTTGTGTCTCAGCTCTGCAGACCATTGTGTAATTCATTTGCAGGAACAGTTTGGGGGATCCAATGCATCCCCTTGAGAAAGGCTCCTCTAAAGGACTCTGGCATCTTATATAAACCAAATCCTTACATAACTTCCTTCTCCTAAGTACCTAAATGAGAATAAGAAGGGAAAAGGTAATTCCTCATAAAACACACACCATACATCATGCAACAGTAACACAATTTGTCTCCTGATCAAAATCGAATTAAAAAATAAAGGAAGGTCAGAGCTGAGGCTGTGACCTGAACACTGAGGACTTTAGCAGTCCCTGATGTCTGAGTCACCCAAAGTAACAGGACAACCTTCCATGTTTGTAGGGAAGACATGAAGCCTCTAAGGGAAGTAAAACTTGTGTTTCCATGGAAATCAGAAAAAAGCAATACAGGAGAAGCATCAAACAATTGGAGTCATGAATGACACCAACTGCTGGTTGATGTTTGTTGTCCTGAACTAGTGATATAACCTAAGTACTCAGTGATGTCAGGCTTGACAGTGGTTTTCCTTAGGAACAGAAGCCTGGACATGGTCACCCTCATAGGGACTTCTGTCAGCTGGATGGTGCTAGGAATCCTACTGCATGTTAACCCCACAGACATCCCAGACGGATGAAAACTCCTGAGTTTCCACAGCAGGACACTCTGAGGATGTTGCTGAGAGATAAACCTGTTGATGATTGACTCTCAGAAAACGCAAGGGAGATGTACAGCTCTCCAACGGTCAGCAGCTGTGAGATCTGCAGATCTCAGGTCCAGCACTGTGACAACAGCTTCATCACAGTCGGCCGGCTGTAGAGAGGGGATTGGGGGACCCAAGGGAGAGTTTCAAGGGTGAGGTCCCACGGTTAAAGAACACATCTTTGCAAGACATCAGCAACAACAGCAGGCAGATGGAGATCAGAGCACAAGAGCATAAGAGCCCAAGAGCCAGAGCACCCGCATCTGTACTGTACAGTTCTCACACGGGTTGTCACCTCATATTTACATTCTTACATTGTGCCATTACCAGTGCCTGCGTGTTTCCCTGTGCTAAGTCATGGTTACATAACTGTGTCCCACTGTGCACCTGTGCTAGATGAGCAAAGTCACATCCTCAGGTGTCCTAAGACACCCCTAAGCTTTGAAGCAGCCTGAGTGGCTCCCCACAGTTGCATTCTTGCAACTGGCTGAGGGAGTAGTTTTAACACCACAATACAAGGAACTGACAGCCATGTGAGCTGATCCACGTGGCAATGAACTTGGCTGCTCCGAAGTTTTCACACTGAGTGCGCTGTCAGAACATTCCCTTGTGCAGTTTACACGAATTTTATCAGTCATGTCTTGATAAAGCTAGCAAACAAATTTACTCAACTTAGTTAATTATTGTAAATATATTTTTACCTTCAAGACTAGAATAGTTAAAAGCCAGATGTAGCAATGCATACTTATAATCCTGGCCTAAGCAACTTAGCATTATGTCTCAGAAGACCTAAAAATGGCCAGAGTGTGGCTCAGCACTGGAGCACTTTTCTTTACATGCATCAGGCTCTGAGTCCCAGTACTGTAAAAAAAAAAAAAAAAAAAAAAAAAAAAAAAAAAAAAAAATTAGAAATTTTCTAAAAAAAGAGCTGATACATTCTGGTTTGTCAGTTATTTGATAGGTATAAAATAAATGCTTCACGTATTATTTTTTTTTCTTGTCTTTTTGAGACAGGATTTCATTATGCAGTTCAGGCTGGACTTGAAGGCATTTTGCAATCCAGGCTGGTCTCAAGCTCCCAGTGATCCTCCTGCCTCAGCCTCTCGAGGGCTGTATTTTCAATGTTGAAGAAACTTTCAAAGTAGCTGTTAATTTTCTGGTGTCAGACATCAGTAAATTAAGACTGACAGAAGTAGCATAGTGTCACGGTTTGGTCAATCCCAAGAGAGACTCTGAGGAAAAGATGTAAGTTGAAGTAGATCATTGGGGGCTTCACTCACACAGGTAAGAATGGGGAAGTGATCCGGAGAAGGGTGCATGATTAAACCAGAGCTGTGTAACCAACGGAAGCTTGGACCTGCGGGAAAGCTACACCAAGTGACGGTGAACACACACTTTAGAATTACCCAGCGTCAGGAGTCCAGGAGCCAAGCCTTAATGAACAACACTCCAGAAGCGTTGGTTGAGCTCCTTCCCTGTGCCATCGATGGGCGCTGTGAATCAGTTGGGAGCTGTGAGGGCTGAGGTGCAGGGGTGGTGTGGCGCCAGACTCACCCGCAATCCACCATTTGCTCCACGTGGGTTTGATATTTGTTTCTTAAATATGGTGGATGGCCATGACATCTAAAAGGAAGAGGAGGAGGGAAGAGAAGAGAGGAAGGGGACAAAGGAGGTCAGAAGGAGAGAGATGAGGGGAAACGGAGGTTAAAAAAAAAAGGAGGGGGATACAGTGAGAGAGACACACACAAAACAAAGCCAAGGGAACTGCAGCTGCTTCTCAGGAAGGCTACGCCAGGGCTCTGCTGCTTTCACCAGTGCCGGCACTTGTGTTGGTTTAGATAATTGTCGGATGAAGTCGCTTAGATCCTCCTGCCTACAGGGTCTGAGCCTCTGGTCATTAAGCCACTGCCAAACCGTGCATTTTCTTAGTACTCCCTGAGGTTATCACTGGGCGTGGACTTACCATGAGGTAATGCAGGGCTATGAGGTGCACTGGGTTCCCCCAGATTCACATCCAAACACTGCCACTGAAAACACGCTCATGCTGGAATAGGTTGGGCCTCTAGTGCCACAGACAGGTGTCTGTATAAAAAGGTGGGAGATAAACAGAGAGAGAAAAACGTATGAGACGTGGAGAAGACAGCCATCCACAAGTCAGGATGCAGATCAGGGTGAAGGCCCTAGTTTCAAATCCTGGTAGGATGAAAAACAGACAGACAACAAAACAAACTGGCAAGGTCACTTGAATTCACTGTAATGACTCTTCAAAAGAAGAGCTATGAAATAAATCAGTACACCATTATGGAGGGAAGTATGGGCATCCCTCAAAAACTAACACTAGCATTACCGTCTGCTCCAGCTACCCCACTTTGGTGTAAATATACAAAGGAAATGAAATTGTTGTATCAAAGAGATACCCACTTGCCCACATTTGGGGCTATACCACCCACAGTTGCTAAGACCTGGAATCGACCCACACACTCATCAATAGAGGAACAAAAGACAAATTCTGCTTTCACACTTGGATGCTAAAATAAGTCAGTTTGCGTGTAGAATATTGATTATGAGAGGCTTAGAAGGGTTGTGTGGAGGGAGACAGAGAGAGGTCTAATGACCAGTAAAGCAACACAGGCAGGAAGTTCTAGCGCTGTGGATGGTGGGGTGCTTAGAGTTCATAAGGACCCGTCACACCTCCTGTAGATAACTAGGAGTGGAGAGCACAAAAGCCCCAAGCATGGAGTCATCACATTGAAATGGAACTGTTAATTAAACCAGTTGGATCATGAATATTATACATTCATATTGGAACAACACACCATCCCTTGTGACCATGCATAATTATTAGCCACCAACAGAAACTTTTAAAAGTCTCAGCAATCTATTTTAAATGATCTACAAAATGATAAGAAACATTTTGTCAATGAATTATGCAGAGTTCTTCCCTATGTAAAGAATAGTCAGAGACATCCACCACACGGCCACATACAGCACAGGAACAGAAGGACTGTCAGCCACCTGTCTTACAAGACAGCAAGAAAAAGTGCAAGATTAAAAACTTATAAAATTATTAAAAGTACTGGGCTGGGAGTGGTGACACACACTAGTAATGCCAGCACATGGGAGACTGAGGCAGGAGGATTGCAGAGAGTTTAAGGCCAATCTGAACTGCATAGTGAAACCCTATCTCAAAAAGACAAAAAAAAAAAAAGAAAGAAAGAAATTATTAAAAGTATTATCATTTGTACGTGATGTGATTCTGAACGAAAAATAGCCCCAGAAAAATATTCTACAATAAATTAGAAATAACCAGTGTGAATACAGGATCGTTAAAATAATGAAATTTTTTCTATATTTCAAAGCAACAGAATTAAAGTTTTGAATTACAACATATAAAGTGGGATAAAAGTAAAGAATAAATCTAATGGCAGAAGAGCAAAATTATTCTTAAAGAAAAATACTGAGCAATTACATGAGCAATCATACACCTGCTTTCATTCACAGTGGAAATGTTTCAAGGCATTTCACCAAAATGCCTGGGTGTAAACTTTCATAGCAGCTTTACTTTTTAATATTCTGAGCTACAAACAAAATACACATTTCCCAAACATCAGATAAACTATGTCAAATTCATGCACTGATGGAAATCATGCTACCAAGATGAAAGAGGTACAGATAATTACAGATAATGAGGCAAAGTACAGACAAGTATGAGGATGCCCCCCACAACCCTAAGGTAAGCAGAGCGGGGGCTGCTCTTCCTGTCTACTCCAGAGTCAAGTCAAGGGCTTGGGCTGGAGCCCAGCAGTGGCCACTTGTCCAGCATATGCAATGCCCTGGGGGAGAAAAGACAGATAAAGCCAAAAGTTTACCCGACCACAGGGTAAATCACTCTCTCCCAGACTGTGAGAAGGTTCGACTGCAGGGAGGGGATGCGTTTCTAACCCCAGCCTGGAAAGGAGGCCGTGCACATGTGTACTTCCTGATGTTGGAAAGAGGGAAACCAAGCATTTCTTTCTTTTTAAATGGATGATGTGCCCATCAAAGATATTCCAGATGTTAGTCCTAAAAGATAAACCAGGTGGCATGTCAGTGACTCTTTTTTTAAATAAAGTGATTTATTTTCTGACAAGGATGAAAATAATTTTTTTAATTTTTTTATTTAGAGAAAAAAAGCAAAACAGGAAAAAAGGGTAGGAATAGTACAGAATTTCAAAAAAAAACAGTAAGAAATCACTAGTTGATAAGTTGCATATGGTTATCTTAGCTAAATCTTGGAAATAACCCAAATGCCTATCAACCTCAAAATGGATGAAAAAGATGTGGTATTTTTATACAATGGAATATTACTCAGTTATAAAAATGGATGATCTTGAGGCCCTTATAGGTAAATGGAGGCAATTGGAGACTATCCTCATAAGTGAAATAAATCAGAATCATATTTATAAATATGTCTCTCTAGCAGAAAAAATAATAAAAAACTGAAAGAATAATAAGATTCAAGATGTATAATAAATATTGTCATAATGGGAGGGAAAGAAAGTGCTCTAAAGGATGTAACTGTGTGTATGTTTAAGTGTGCAAGATAGATGACTGTACTGCTAAGTTTTTGTTAGTTCATCAAACAGAATGGTTTGTACGGTCAGTGAGAAGAGAGGAGAGAAGAAGAGGGAAGGGGAGGGGAGGGGAGAGTAGGGGAGGGGAGAGTAGGGGAGGGGAGAGTAGGGGAGGGGAGAGTAGGGGAGGGGAGAATAGGGGAGGGGAGAGTAGGGGAAAGGAGAGGAGGGGAGGGGAGAGGAGGGGAGGGAAAAGGAGAGGAGGGGAGAGGAGAGGAGGGGAAAGGAGAGGAGGGTAGGGGAGAGGAGGGGAGAGGAGAGGAGGGGAGAGGAGAGGAGAGGAAGGGAGAAGAGAGGAGAGGAGAGGAGAGGAGAGGAGAGGAGAGGAGAGGAGAGGAGGGGAGGGGAGGGGAGAGGAAGGGAGGGGAGGGGAGGGGAGGGGAGAGGAGAGGAGAGGAGAGGAGAGGAGAGGAGAGGAGAGGAGAGGAGAGGAGAGGAGAGGACGGGAGGAGGTGGAGGAGAGAAGGGAGGAGGGAGGGAGGGAGACAAACGCCCTAAGATCGGTGACAGTGCTGGAACTCAGACTACACCTAGAATCACCTGTGACAAGGACAGCGACACAGTAGGAAGCCCTCCTGACCACCCCTGAGGGGTCCGGGAGTCAGAAGCAATAGGCCCGTGAATTCACTGAGACCCCCCTCACCCTAAATGATGCTTCCACATCTGCCCCCACGCCCTGGTTCTTCTCTGCCCCAGGACTCATGGTGCCAGGAAGCCTCCTCCCGAGTGTGTTTGACGGCAGCCAGAGCTGCCGAGCCGACTGCAGCCAGACGCCTGCTTAGTCCTCAGTCAGGGTTTTGTGGGCAAACAGCATGGAATAGGCACTAGTTCATCGCTGGGACTTCCTAACCTGAGTAGAGCCAGGGGACCAGGAGTGCAGAGGAACAGCTACCCCCACTCTCCCTGGACAGGAGCTGCCGCACGCCCAGGTGACAATCAAAGCCGGAAGAATGCTGATGACTGACTCTCTCCTTTTATCTGCACAATGTCCCTGTGAGTTATGGTCCATTAACAAAGTGACTAAACACTTCCTTGCACAGAAATCACAGTGCCTAGAGAGCAATCTCCTCTCCACCTTAAGTTCCCAAACAGAATGTGAAAAGCAATATCAACAACAACAAGGAAAAGTAAACGGATTGGTCCAGCTCGTGGAATCTGGGACTATAAAAGGCCCAGGTGGGGAGAAAGCACTCTAATCCAGAAAACTCACCTGTGACCAGGACCCGCCCTCCACACCTGACACCATGACCCACTCCTGCTGCTCCCCTTGCTGCCAGCCCACCTGCTGCAGGACCACCTGCTGCAGGACCACCTGCTGGAAACCAGCCTGCATCACCAGCTGCTGCAGCGCCCCCTGCTGCCATCCCACCTGCTGCCAGCCCACCTGCTGTCAGACCACCTGCTGCAGGACCTGCTTCAAGCCCAGCTGTGTGACCAGCTGCTACAGCACCCCTATCTGCCAGCCTAGGTGCTGCGTGTCCAGCTGCTGCCAGCCCACCTGCTGCCAGCCCACCTGCTGTCAGTCTAGCTGCTGCCAGCCCAGCTGTTGCCAGCCCACCTGCTGCCAGCCAGCCTGCTCTGGACCTGTGTACTGCACCAGAACCTGCTACTATCCTACCTGTGTCCGCCTGTGCAGTGGCCTCCCCGAGAGCTACGGATCCGGCTGCTGCCAGCCTTGCAGCTGCTGACCAAGTCCTCAAAAGCTTACCATGTGCACAACCAAATTCTAGGGACCAGTATGCCACTTCCACACACATCTCTCCCTGTGACAGCCATCATGCACAGCAGGGAATCTGTCCCTCGTCTCCTGGTAGACGGCTTTGAGGGAGTGCAGAGCCTGCCACCCTCTTCTGCCCTAGGCCCTGCAGATGTTTAGCCAGCTTTTCAGATCATGGCGTGCAGTTCTGGCCTTGGCTTCCAAAGCCAAGATCTTTATGTCATCCCCTGAAAACCTGGGAAAACTCTTCATGAAGTCATAAGTTTTCGCAACTTATCAATCCCCAGCCTAACCACGGTTTCCTTTGCAATGTGCTCTGCATGCGCATTGCATTTATTCTACTTTCTCCTTTCCTCATCACCTAGATTATGCAGCCTCCATAAATTCTTAATAAATGCTGTGCTGTGACTCACTGCACATTGCCGGTCTCCATTTTGTTGTGTACAGGAGGGCACAGTGCGGGAGAGCAGATCTCAAGAAGTCATTCACCATGCAGCACTGAAATTAACAACTCCCTACCTCCCTTACCCTGTCTGCCCACGGCCTCTGGAAATCACCCTCCAATCTTTGTTTCTCTGCATCTGGGAAAATATACCACTGGTCCTTCTGTGATCGGTTTAGTTCACTTAGCATAAGATCCTCAAGGTCGCTCCCATGTCACAAAAGACCCACTCACCTCTCTTTTAAAGCTGAATGCCTTCCACTGTGTGTCTGAACCACATTTTCTTGATTGTTTGTTGATGGTTATACATTCCTACGGCTTCCACATCTCACATATTACTGGTGCTGCTGTGAACTGGGTGGTGCTATGGCCTTTTTGAAATGCTAATTTCAGTTCTTTTGCAAAAACATCCAGAAATGGGGTTGCTGTACCATACATTTCCATTTTTAATTTTTTGAGCTATCTCTGTATTGGTTTTTTTTTTTTACTTGCTGCAACATTTTACATCCCAGCCGACAAACAAGGCTTCCTAGCTCTCCGCATCCCTCATCACGTATTTAGAGTGTTGTCTTTTTTTAATTTAAAAATAAAAGAAACAAAAAAAAAAACATAGAGAAAAAAAGGGTAGAAATAATACAGAATTACAGAAAAACAGTAAGAAATCACTCGTTGATAAGTTACATATTGTCATCTTAGAAATATCTGTTCAGGTTACAAAATTAAAGCATACAAAGTGACATGCAAGTAGTGACACTGCCAACAGTTCTGCTCAATGATCCAACAAAAACTTAGTAATGTGGTTATCAGTCCTACACACTTGTTTTGTATCTTAAAGAGGGTAAGAGTAAACATACCAAAACAGAACAAAACAGTTCATAAAGGGACAATTTAAAGAAATACGGATTTCAAAGCAAGCCCACTGGAGATCTTCATTGTCTGTCTTACTGTCTCTAGTTTTCTCCCAAATAGTTGTCCCCATCTTCACACACATTGAATACATACTGCATATTGTAGAACTAATCAAATCATTACAAGATAATGAAGGCTTTTTAGGTCTTCAAGACCTGACATTGGGGAAGTCAATAATAACTACCATAATGTCTCTCATTCTCTTCGTAGTAGCTGTCCTTATCTTTATGTATGCTGAAATTGAACTTAAGAGACTAGACTAATATCACTCTGAACAGTGAATAATAGTATTGCTAGATTTTACATCATAACGTTACAAAATTAGTATTGGGTTTCTTAGTGTCTCTTCTTCTTTAGAGTATCTGTTCATTACATCTTGTATTGTATAATCTGTTCCTGTAAATAGTTTAAAAAATTCTTCCCATGTGTGAATTTCTACATGGATATCTATCCTCTCTGTATTATAGGGAAAAACAGAGCATAACAAGACAATAAAACAAATTCCTAGAAAAACATGCAATGAAAAAGACACATAAGACCGCAATATTAGGTGGTCTACCATAGTTACTATGCTTTCTCTTGTTATTTTCAGTAGACTTGTCCATATCATCAGGCTTAAGGTAGTTAAGCATAGTATTACATAGCTATTTTTATAAAAACACAACTTTGAAAACATTGTAGGACTTGAGAGCTGTTAATAATCAATACCAGTATGGATATCTTTTACATCTTGTCATCTTCAGAGTAGTTGCCTCTACTTTTAGGATTGATACTATCAAGCATACCAGATTCAAATAAAATCAGCCAAGGCAAAACCGCAGATTCACATAAGATCAGTCATAGTAAGACAATGTAAGTAACACAGGGCTTCAGTTTAAGTTAATAGGAAATTAAGGATAGTTACCATGGTATAACCTGCTGTTTTTGGGTTAAATGTCTGTGCCCTCAAATCTGATATGAGTGGACAGATCAGAACAAAATAAAATCAAACTAAACAGAGCGAGAAGACTACTGTGACTTTTAAATCCTGATACACTATTAACAATGACCTCTGCCTTCTTTTTTTAGGCTATTTATCACCTTTCCCCTTCTCAGGATGCTTTGTATGTTTTGGGTCTCACTAGCCCCTTTAGTTTTTAGATTAGGGGGCCAGCCTGCTGTCTATCTGAGTGTTGCTGAACCTTTCTACCCCTGAGCTTGATCTTGAGCTGTACTCCTTCACTCACTAAAGTCACAGGGTTTTCTTCCTTCCAGCTATGTAGTTCTACACTGCCCAAGAGTGTCATAGCTTTCCAGTCTATCTGCGGCTGCTGGGTGAGTTGTCCCTATTTCTCTCTGGTTTCCTGTCACATGTAGCTTTGCTTTCTCATCTTTGACTTTCAGTTTATTAACCGTCCTTCAGATTGAGTGTATTTCCCATTCAGAGCATCTTGATGGAGCCTGCCTCCTAATCTACTCTGCCTGTTTTTTTTTTTATTTTAGTGTACCAAGGCTATCTATATTAAAGATTATAACTTACTGTCTCTGCCTCATATCTGCCATCCACTTCACTGCTATAATGTGTCCACCTTACTCCCTCATTCCAGTGTCTGCCCCGTTCATTGAGGCCTCTCTGCCACTGTTGCTGGAATCCTGGTATCTCTTCCTCTCTCTCTCTCTGGAATATCCTTCAGCATTCTTTGTAGGGTTGGGTTGGTGGCCATGAACTCCCACAGTTCCTCCTTGTCTTGGAAACATCTTATTTCTCCATTAATTTTGAGAGAGAGTTTTCCTGGGTACATCAGTCTTGGTTGCAAATTGTTTTCTTTCAGGGCTTAGACTCTTTCCCCCCAGGCTCTGCTAGATTTGAGAGTTTGTGTTGATAAGTCTGTTGTTATTTTGATAATTTTTCCATTGTAGATAATCTGCTTCTTTTCCCTGGCTGCTTTTAGTAATCTGCTCTTTTGGTGGATTTCTGGAATCTTGATTATTATATGTCTGGGTGTTGATCTCTTTTGGTTGTAGGTGGCTGGAGTTCTATATGCCTCATTTATTTGGATATCATTTCTTTTTCCTATGCTTGGGAAATTTTCCTTTAGTATATCTGTGAATATTCTTTGTATTTCATTTTTGGTTGCTCCTGCTTCCTTGCTCACACGCTTTCTTCTTAAGTTATGTATCCTTTTGTCATCTTCTAGCCTTTGAATTGTTTCTTTCTGGTTCCTCTTTATTTTTAAGAGGTCTTCTCTTTCATGATCATATATCATAAATCTCTCTTCAAGTTTCAAAAGATTAACTTTAGTTTCTGTCAAGACATTTTGCCAGTTTTCAATGGAGTTTTGTTTCCTGGTAATCTCTTTGGATCTGTTTCAAGTATTCTAGGTTATGTTTAAATTCTTCATCAGAGATTTCTCTTTCTTTTCTGATTTCCTCTGTTCTTCCATCTGTGTTCTCTTGGGGGGGCTTATCATTTCTTTAATTAATCTTTTTATATCTTGCCTCACTTGGATCAGAAGTACAGTTTTAAATTCACCTATGAGGTCATGAAGGTATTTTTTTATGTCTGCTGATACTGTGTCCAGTATTGGATGGTTACTGCACTGGTTCTCTTCTGTATTTACTTCTCCTGGGCTTATTTTCCCAGGTTTGGCAGCTGGAGATTTTTTTTATTTCTATCTCTTATCGTGTTTCTGGTTTCTTTCAGACTGGTGTATCCTGGGGGTCTCCAGCCCTCTCCATATTGCTTAGGGTCTTTTGCTGCCCTCCCCAATTTGCTATTATCTGAGGTACATGCAGGGATACAGGGATGGTGCAGGCTAGCCTTGAGCCTCTGAGCCAGTCAATCTGCAAGTTAGGCTGTACCTTGTGGATGTCACAGAGTCGCAACAATATTGTACCTGCTTATTGGGTCCCAACCAGAGGCGTAGCTCAGCCCCAGCAGACCCCACCAGTTCTCTCTGTGCCAGGGGCGCCTGACTGATGTAACCACAGCACCCAGCTCTGCCCACCTCCAAGTTGTCCTCCACCAGACCTCTCTGTGCCAGGGGCGACTATCTGATGTCACCACATTGCCAGGCTCTGCCCAACCCCAAGATGTCCTCCACCAGTCCTCTCTGTGTCACTGATGTCGCTGCAGCACCAGGCTCTGTCCAATTCCAAGATGTCCTCCAGCCAGCGACAGCAGCAGTGGGACTCAGTCCTTAGCACTCACTGGGAATCAATGCAGTTCTCCCTCTTGGGATCACTCCACACTGTGCCGTATGTCTTCTCTGTGCTCCCAGCACAGCACAGATCAGTTAGAAAACTGTGTCGTGCCTGGCTTCAGACCCCAGGTGTATGGTCCTCTTGCAGTCTCCTCCGGCGCGGCCAGGTGGCTCTGGCTGCTTCACAGGGCCCCAGGTCCCAATTTCCAGCACTCATCAAGAGCCAATATAGCTCTTCCCCTTGGATCCACTACTCACTGTGCCACATCCTCCCATTAAGGGTCCAGGATTCACCGACTCCCATTATCGGCAGCCGCAGTCTCAGCGTGACCTTGGATCCTCGGGGCGCGCCTAGTACAGTACGGAATGGGTCTCAGTGAGTGTGTCAGGCTTCAGCTCTCCACCTGTGCTTTTCCTTCCTCTTCCAGGTTTTATTTTTCCCTTCGGTTACCGCCTTGGTTAATAAGAGTCATTATCCATTCATCTGGCCCTCTCCATGTTGTCATATTCTAGCATCTGATCTGATTTCTCCACAGAGACTCTCCATCCAGCCCCCTAGCAAGCCACCAGTGTTTTTCTCTCCTAGAGTGTTGTCTTTTGGTGATTGTCAGATGCACTATTCCAATACAGTATTCACCTGAAAACTGGAATGATATTCTGATGCTCAGAAGCATTTCCTGCAATGGGAGAAATGCACAACCTTGCTTATAGAACTAGAAAACAGAGACACAATGCCCCTCCCAGTGCCAGGCTCAGCTGGGCACTGCAACTGTTCACCTTGGCCTCTTCTGATCCCAAAGCCCTGCCTCAGACCACCCCACGCAGCTTTGAAAAACACACGATCCTTTTCACAGGGCCACTGTAAATCCTGTGGACCTG